ACACTCCCTCGCTGGATCTCTCAGTAAACTCACTCTAGATGACAATTCGAAATGCAGACCTTGCATCCTAAAAGGGATGAATGTGCATGTGTGCCCAGAGGGATCAAACGGTTCTCTTTCGTACTTTTCACCGTGTGCACTGGGGATGGGGTGGATATTGGGCATTGCGCATGCAGGGTGTAGTTCCGGTTAAAAATATTCTTCTATTCAGATGGGATGGTCAACGATTCGGCCGGAAGTGGTTTATTTAGGACTGTGATGGACTTATCTGCTGCTGCTGCTGCTGCTGCTGCTGCTGCTGCTGCTGCTGCTGCTGCTGCTGCTGCTGCTCCTGCTGCTGCACTACATATGTACATGCACAGATATTCAAAGAAATACAAATAGGTTTAGATTGAGCTTTGGACTGGATTAAAATCGCTCTCGATAATGCCTTTTCCGAACTTGGATGAAATAAGAAATTTGAAAATCCAAAGGGATACAATTCTGTTGAGTCTCAGTAGAGATTAGGCAATCGAGAACAGCTTGTCTTGTTTTTTGTTTCGGACTATTTGGTATACCATGCATATGCTGGCGCCCTGCCCCAAGACGCAGTCATTCGATAATATCGGTCTCAAACTATTATCACATTGCTTTTCAGAAAAGAAATGGCTCAGGCAATAACGGAAGAAGTGCAGGATCCGTTGCACGCAAGTTCCGCAATTCGAGCTGCTCCGACCATTCACTCTCCGCCCAGCTCGCATGGGACCACGGTGAGTTTTTGTCTTCTAGTAGACGGGTTCACAGGTGTTGTTGCTGTTGTTCTCTCGAACTCGTTTGGGTTTTGGTACAAACCCATCAAAACTTCTACTCGGTTGGCGGAAAGGATATATGGAACGTAGGATTGACTAAAATGCTTGCTGGTGTTCTCACTCCGAACCGATTTCCGTCAAGTTAAATACATTTTTGAGAAAGCAAATCTAGCTTTGTGATTCAAACAGATTACAATCATATAAGGAATTTCGAATAATCGACGATGAATCGCAATTTCAATCGATTTTCTTGGCTGCACGAGTTGAACTCATTGTTCATTCACCGATGCTCAGGTCCACTTTCCACCGATACTGCTCAAGAATGTAGAGACAAATCTGCCAGGAGAAGGGACTTTGGAGGTTCCCTTTCAACAGACACAAAATCCAACTAAGTCGGGGAGGACTGCCAATACGGGGAAGTTTTCAAACAAGCATTTATTATTGATATGAAGTTGGTTTGCTCAGCGTCACCCTTAGAAGCTCCACGAACTCTGTGCTCTCGAATTCCTGTGAAATGAACACAAGATCGAGAAGTGTATGAAGCATTCTTTGTCTTGTTGGGCTATAGGTAAACAAGTTCAGTCTGCATTGTTCTTTTTATAATTTCTACTGACAAGTATATTTTAAACGAAGTGTCATGGCAAGTGAGGAACAATCGCTGGGCTTTTGTGTGGCTTTGATACCTCTGTGGCGTTCGTGTGACGTGTGTTTGCTCGGCGTGAACCTGACCCCGGGATGTTGTAACTCACATGGACAGTGAATAACCATGACCAGTACAAGCTTATCCGAATCAACATTCGATTAGGCAGTATCAAGGTAGGAAACTGGCTAGTAAGCATTCCGAGTTGCACATCAATGTCACTGTGATTCAGGCAGACACTGGGGCGCCTTCTCAAAGAAAATCGACACTAGATGAATCCTGACGACTGCCTGACGTGCCGATGATTGCTGTTTTGAACTGTGTCGACGTTAGTCCCCGTCCTCCTCCCTTGGTAAAAAATGCAGACACGTGGCTGAAAATCAAGGATAACAAAGTAGAGTTTCACAAGACAATACTTTCCATTCCGTTTGCAATCCATTTGGTTTTATCTTGCTTATTTTTTCGATAAACCAGTTTGATTATTTTCTAAATTTTCACTCAATGAATCTTTAAGTGTGATGCACAAAAACAGTAAGCATTAGTTTATGTGGTACTCGACAATGTGGTTCGTTGAGGAATGAGGTGAACTGGTTGCCTGTATCGTCGCATATGCAAAGCGTACTTATCGTGAACTAAGGGAACCAATGAAATGCATCAGTTTAGGTGTTATATTAAGACCATGGATGGAGGCGAGATTAGAGAATTTTTTTCTGTTTCTTTCCGTACATAAATACGATGGTTTACAAACACATGTTAACTGAGAAACATTTTACTGTTCTCTCGACAAGTGGTGATTGATTCCGCTCTGTCTCTTAAGTAGAAGGACAGAGAACTGATAACCTTCGACAGCACCATTATCACATGGGAACGATGAAAGAAACACAAGACAGACTTTAACCCCCATTGATTGTTCAGTTTACTGTGTCCGATTTCGAGCATCATTCCCAGTAGACTCAAAGAATTTGAAGTTTGAAGAATTCGTATAATTTCCTACTGTCCAACTTGGCATACAATTTCCTAGAATGAACTAGTGAAACTTATCACGGAATGGAACGGGAGAAATTTTAAAGTAACTGACTGACTGCAGCTGACTGACTGACTGATTGCAGCTAACTGACTGACTGACTGAATGGCGGATTATTAGCCTCGTATAGCTTGCCTTTCTTTATCTAACCGTTCTCAATTTGTTCACCATTTACTATGTCCTTCCTCATTCGTTTAAGGCCAACGGTTCTTGTATTGAAGAAAGCAGCCCATCAAAAGATTTTAAGGAAAACGGAACTGAATCACAGACCTATTCCAACGAATCCCTCTCAAGAATGGATGGTGAAAGCATGAAGCATGTGAAAGCAACCCGGAAAATGGAAAGAACATTAGACGGGTGTAAAGGAGTTGGAGAAGAGGAAGTGTACTCGAACGCCTGCATAGTCAAGCGCAGACGAACGGACCCTCTGGTATGTCCAGCTGCATTATTTTTCATTTTAAGAGTTAGCATTACCTGAACAAATGAAATATTGTCGTTTAGTTTGTACTGCTTCTAGCTGTCAGGAAGAGATTTATATAGAGTCGGATCTAGATAATCTCTATGGTATTGAATAAAGAACACAGCAGCACAGTGTTGCACAATTTATTTACGGAAAAATTTCGCTGTATCTCTTCAGGTACATGCTACAATCAAAGAATGTAGTGCAACTAACAAGTAGCATTTACCGCGGATGAGCTGTTAGTGTTATCTTCGTCCACCTTTCTACCAGGATAGGGCTAAAGTGACAAATAACTCTTTCTGATTGCACAATTCAGGCTTCCATCATTTTATAGAAATCACCTCTGCAAACTTGAGCAACCGGGAATTTTGCATGATGAGGACACCTTTAAATGCTGTGATCACGTTCATTTGATGCCCAGTCTCTAACACGTGACGAGTGATCGAGGACGCTGGTGTGCGGCATTGGGTTGACCTTTGACCTTGTTCATTCGTTCACCAGTTTATTGACCCACACAGGGATGGTTCGGGCTGCACTTTGTCTGAGGTGCCGCTCAGTGCTGCTTAGGTAGCTCTACCTTGATAGAAAGATGGACGAAGATAACACCAACAGCTCATCCGCGGTAAATGCTACTTGTTAGTTTTCATCGTATTCTTTCTATGTAGACCTGATGGACAGTCACCCCCTTGGCCAAAAATCGCAATCGTATACTGCCTACTCATAAGTAGCATGAAAGCGCTTATATAACCGAATAACTAAAAAATAATAATATGCAGATTAATTGGCGTGACAACGTTCACTGGTGTGTTTCAAAAAGGGTAGACCTGACCGAAAGTCACCCCCAGGTAAACGTTTTTATTTCGTTGAATTTTTAAATAAATTTTACGTGGAAAATTCTCCTGAAAATATGGAACTCAAAAATGAATATGCATGGGTCAACATTATTTCTAATTACCTCAATTAGTTTATATGTCCAATCATTTTTGTGCGCTATATTTATCGAAAATTGAAGGAGGTTCTTGTGTTGAATATCTGCAAGACCGGAATTTGTTGCCAAAAAGGCGTGATTGTGTCTGCGGTCACGCTATGAACCTTCAGGAATTGAGCAAGGCACCGGATGGGTTCCTTTTTCGCTGCTGTCGGTGCGAGAAAACCGTTTCTCTTCGAAAGAGCACGTTCTTCGAGAATTCCAAGATATCTTTGTGTCTGTTCATGGAATTAATAGTGTATGAAATTCCTGTTGTGCGGGCCTGTAGCATGTGTCACTTGTCCGAAAGGACAACGATACCATGGTACGTGTTCTATCGCGAGATATGTTTCCACAAGCTGCTCTCCCTCAACCAACAGTTCGGTGGTCCGTCCAAAATTGTCGAAATCGACGAAACTGTTGTCAATAAATATAAATATGGACGAGGGAGAACTTGGGTTTTTGGGATGTTTGACCGATTCGAAGGGAAGGGATACTTCGAAAATGTAACCAACCGATCGGCAAGCACACTATTGTCAATAATACAACGATGGATTATGCCTGGTACTATCATTTACTCCGATGAATGGGCAGCCTTTCGAACGCTGTCGTCCTGGGG